CTTTGTCTCAAATAAATAAATGAACTCAAGTTCTGGGTGGAGCAGGGGCCAGAGATCTAGGGAATGGAGTGCTCTCTTTTCTGCCTCTTCCCCAACAGGAACACCTCTTGTGCCCATAGATAAGATGCACCTTTCCGCCACTTCATGCTTCTCCACCAGTGCCTAGAGTCACTGGGCTGGTTAACCCGGCCTCTTCTCCTGCATTGTGTCAGCCAGTCCCTCATCTCTGAAATATTCCCTTCCCCTCGCAAACTGCGGCCAGCTGGCTCAGAGTTCTCACACATGCCTTTCAACCAAGCCCAGCTGCTAATCTCCTCTCCCTACCTAAAGGAGGGGTCAGAAAGTCAGGACAGAGTCTTTCTCTCTGAGCCCTGGTGCACCACCCTCCCCTCCACGGTTTCTCAGGAGCCTATGAGGCAAGTCAGGTGGCAGGTACCACTGGGCACCCCCTGTGCATCTCCAGGCCCTCAGCATGCTGAGAAAGACCTGAGAAAGCAGAGTCACTGACAGGCACCCCAGGGGGAAGCTGACATTCAGAAACAGGAAGAAAGCACACTCTGTGGCCTTCCTTGGAAGCCAGTGACTGAGCACTTGAGTCTTGTGAAGGTGACTGTGTACAAGTGGGCGAGGGGGAGGGGATGCAGGCTGCCCTAGAGGAAGGCCAGCTTGGCCAGCTGCTCTGGCCTGGAACCCCTTCCTCCTCCCAAGCTCATCTAGGAATAATGGACTGGATTGGGTGTCTTGGGACATTCTTTTTTGCTTTAACTTTCTGTGAGTTCAAAAGGTATAGTCCTCTGAGACTCAGAAACCCCACTTCACCAGATTTTACCCATGTTTGATCACTTCAGGAAACAGGAGTTTTCTCTGTAGGAAGCCAGTACCCAAATTCTGCCTCAACATCAACGAATCAATCAAAGCCGACTGTGGGTAAGGAAGCCTGCAGTTCTCCCCTCCCCTGGCACACATCTTCCCACTTCTTCCTCTAGACTCAAAATTCCCACCACGGGAAAGCCAGAAGGGATGGGCTCAGAATGGATTTCTCCCTGTCACTGCCTTCCCGTGGCCCCACCTGTGCCCCTGATCTCCCTACCTCCCCTCAGTAATGATCTACAAAATCATGTCACTCCCTCACAACAGGGGCATTCTCCTCTTAGACACAGAGTCTCCCTGGGACTGAGTGACCAGCCTGGGGATCCCCTTGGGGCTCAGCCCCCCCCTTCCTGGCTAGCTTGCAGTAGGGGAGTGGGGGACAAGGCAAGAGTGGCTTCGGAATTAGGGAATCTGGTTGTTTAATCCTGGCCTGAATCCTCTGGGCTCCAAGGCTGGGGTTGGGTCCTGAGCTCCTCAAAATAGGATAAAGGGAGGGCAGAGTGGGGCAATGATGGAGCCAGGTGACCTTGGGATTATCTGGGTTATAAAGTGTACCTTTGGTCAGCAGCTGGGGAGGGGACAGTCCTCCTTCCTGTGTACCTTCTCCCTGTGCCCCCATCCAAGGCTTCCTTACCCTTTCCCTGCCTGGGGACTTTGAGCACGGTGGAGATAAAGCCCTGCAGCTGAGCACTAGCCCAACACTGAGCGTGAGCTAGCAGGGCACATCCAGAGAGAGCCTAGGACAGAAATTCCTCCCTGCTCCAAAATGGCCATCTTGATTGTTCTCTGAGCTCTGAGGGATCCCAACCCCATGTCAAGAGAAAAGTAAGGAGTTCCAGGCTGCTTTATCCTCTCAAGCTTTCCAGCCTATTTCACCCACTCTGTCCCCCCAAGGACAGTGGAGTAAGGCCCACCAATGAATATTCCATTCATTCCTCATGCCACAAGGCACAGGTTATCCACACGGCGAGGGGGCGGGGCTGAGGCTCTTCAGTAAAGCTCCCACCCCAGCCCCACCCTCAGTCCTGGGTCAGAATAAAACCTCTAGCTCCTGCTCATCTGGTTGGCCAGCCACCTTACCCTGCTTGGTGGGTGACTTCTGGGGACTAGAGGCAGCAACCTTTCTCGCCCCAGGCCCACTTAGGCACAGGGGGCGAGAAGGCCACAGGGGAGAGACCAGCACCCCTGACCTCCACCTTCCCCTTTCCTCGGGCCAATACCCTGAGCAGACGCGAGGGGCAGGAGGGGAGATGCCGGGGTCGGAGAATTGTAACTCGAGCAGGTGTTGTCAGGGGAAACCGCTCCTTCGAAGACGAGACGTGGGCGAAGGGGAAAGCCTGCCTCAAGGGATCCGAGAGGCCGCCCCGACTAGAGCAAAGGGCCCTGGCGTGGCGGGCAAGTGAGCCCGACCCCGCGGAAACGACCCGCCCGCGGCGTCCCCGCCCCCGGCCCGGCCTGGCCTCACCTCGATGTTGCCCACGGTGCGGGCGCAGCCCACCACCTTCAGTCCCTGCTGGACCAGGGCCCGGGCCACGGCCGCGCCAATGCCCACTGAAGCTCCCGTCACCAGCGCCAGCCGGTCGCGCCACCGCTCCATGCCGGGTCTGGCCATGAGCCCGCGCCGCCCGCTCGCCTCGCTGGGCAAGCCCGGCACCGGGGTCGAGGAACTGACGCCCGGCCGCCTTCCGGCTGCCGCAGCGGACCTGCTCACGTTCGACTTGCGCCGCTAACCACCAGCGTCCCAGCCTGCCTCTGGTTGGGACTCCACCCTCAGGCCTTCGGCGACCCGCCGCATCCAGTCGGAGGCCGCCGCGGCCCGGCCGCCCCACCCACTGCAGGAGGTCCCCGCCCCTTCCGCCCTTTCGCCCTTCCCCCCCTGGGCCCACCCCCGCCCGGTCCCGGAGCTAGGAAACCCGGCTGCGCTGGAGCTTCCGGGTAGCTGGCGGCGCCGGTTCACCCGAGAGCGCTTCTCTTAGGGTGCAGGAAAACCGAGGTTTAGCTGGGGCTTCCTCCAGCCGCGAGGGCGCATACTCAAGAATCCCGCTTAGTCTCCCTTCCCTATTCCTGAACCCTAATGCCAGGATGAGGAATTAACGGTACTTAAGGTGACTCCAACACCCTCCCAAACCCGCCGGTGACTTTGAAAAGGGATTCGGCCCACAAAACGCCTAGTGTCTCCGCCATCAACGCTGGGTGACCTTGGGAAGGACTCTTGCTCACCCTGCCTGATCTCTTGGCTTTACTAGGCAGAGAACTGAAACCCTCCCAAGTACACGTGTACTGGGGGATTATGTCCCTAAATGTCCCACTGTGTCCAACTGCCCTAGACACCCCCCCACGCTCACCCCTCCCCCACTGTAGCAAATGTATCATGATATATTCCAAAGATTAAAACAGTAGTTAACATTTCTTGCTTATGGTACATGTAGCAGGCACTTTAAATATAGTAACTAATCTGCACAACCGCACTTAGCACATACTAGTTTTGTTTTGTTTTTTTTTTTTGAGACGGAGTTTCGCTCTTGTTACCCAGGCTGGAGTGCAATGGCACGATCTCGGCTCACCGCAACCTCCGCCGCCTGGGTTCAAGCAATTCTCCTGCCTCAACCTCCCGACTAGCTGGGACTACAGGCGTGCGCCACCAGGCCCATCTAATTTTTTTTTTTTTTTTTTTGTTTTTTTTCGTAGAGACGGGGTTTCACCATGTTGACCAGGATGATCTCGATCTCTTGACTTCGTGATCCACCCGTCTCGGCCTCCCAAAGTGCTGGGATTATTGGTGTGAGCCACTGCGCCCGGCCATACTAGTGCAGTATCTTAAAGATGAGTATACTGATGTGCTGAAGCATGGTTTGGACCACAGGCAGTCCAGTTTTAGGCCAGTGATGTGCTTCTAAACAGTCTTCACACCATTATCGCTTCTTGGGTTGTTGGTCTTGTTCAGAGTAGAGCTCACTTTGCTAAAAAGTGCTGAAAACTGCATAATATAGCCATTCTCTTTAAGAAAAAGCATCTTTGAATAAACCTGACTCCTGCCCAACAATGGAGTAAGCAGTGAATGTGGCTGGTTTATTCATTCAGAAACATTCATTTGCCTATTCTGTGTTTGGCCCCAATGGCAAAGATTAAAACTAAACTAAATCAGCCTTTGCTTTTAGGGATCTCAAAAGACCATCTAACTGTAACGGTGAAGACGGGATTCGCCTCTGAGCCAAGGGCTATGGAAGACCCACAGTCATTTTTTATAGATTCTGGATGAAATGAAAAAGGGTCTGAGAGGAGTCCTTTTACCTCTGCCCATTCCTACACAACATTTAGGTTTGAAAGACAACTCAGGTGCTGGATCCAAGAAATGGCACAGACTATAAAAATTCAATCCAAGCTTCTGCTGCTGCTCGCTTGAAATCTAACTAAACAGCACATAAAATTCACTCCACCTCCATTGCACAGGATTGTCCCACGATTTGTATGCTGCCACCAAGTATTATAAACATGTAGACACAAATCTTGAAGCATCATGTGTCTATTGAGCTATTTGACTCGATCTTTTAAATAGCAGCAAAATGCTACTCCTGGGGCGGGGGGAACTCTCTCCTTCAGTGCCAACAGCTGTGACAGCAGTAAAGTGTAAGACCACAGTGACTTTGTTACTGGACATCAGATAAGGCTGAGCCTCACATACACTTAGCCCATAAGGTGGTTAGCTCTCAGTGCAGCCTTCTGATCCCAGTCTTACATGTTGAGCAAATTACTTATCGGGTAGCCACTGGTTGAAATTCTGTCAAGTTTTGTTTTTACTCTTCTAGGTCAATATGAACCTCTGAATTTAAGAAGTACTTTGTGTATGTATTAGGGAACTTTATGTATTAAGCAATTAAAAGTCTCATGGGAAAGTAATGTTCTAGCAAGTATTGAAAGGTATTGCAGCAAATTTATATCTTCAAACAAAAAAAACTGGAAACTGCTTTACTCAGTTGTCAATTCTCATCAAAGGAAGAATTTTGTCTTCAACAATCTGTATCTCTGTCTCATCCTTTTCCTACCATCAACACTAGCCAACCAAGCACCAAGTCGACAAGTGGCAAATACTAAAGTACTGCCACACATCAAGTAGAAACATGTACACCAAATTTTACTGTGCATATTAATAAATATTCTTTATTTTAAATTTTGCACATTGCGCTTTAACATTACATCCAAACATTTCGCAAGTGGATGTCTACTTTGTAAAACCATATATTCAGCTCATTGTCATTTCTGTACAGAATTATAAGTACAACATTACTTTTTGCCACTAAGTTGCTTTAGTAAGTCTCACAGGAAGAGAAACATTTAATGAAAAGAGATGGCTTAAATCATATGGCAGGCCTGTGCAGCCACGCAACTAAAGACACAAGCCTGAAGAAAGAACAAACTAATGAGGATACCTCCACCGTCTCCCAAAACAAGAAAGAATCACATTTAAGATAAAATTTTGCCGTTTAAGTCACTAAATTAAGAGTTTTTCAAAAGAGAAGGCGCAGTAGTCATCATGAGTGTTTCATTGAAAGACAGAGCTATTTTATTTATTTAATTTGCTCCAGCCGTTGTCAACCAGCCACTACAAATGGGCCTCTTGTGATCATTTAAGCGGCAGTATTTATTAAATTTCTCCTTCAGATGCTGTCGGTATTGTTCTCTATTGCTGTAGAAAGACTGGTTATTAGCCATAAATGACTGTATTTCATCTTGTGAGATAAAGATTTCCTCATCTGAAGTACATTCAGACTCATCCTGTAAATTAAAGCAGTGGTTAAGACTATGACTTAAGAATGCAAAATGCTATGTGATGGAGGCGGACAGCTAAAAATTAAAGTAGTCTAGCTTTTTAGTTTCAGTTCAGTCACATAAAGCCTTTAAGTGGAGTGTTTGCAGAATAAGCATCATGTCATTTGTCTAACAAAGTACCTGGAATCTATAATTTCTCCTAGAAGCCTATGAGCCTAGCAAACTACCATCATACCTTGGCCTTAAAAATATAAAGATGTTACAACTAGTTACACCACATTTTAAGTAGCTAGACTTATCTCTAGCTAGCCCTACCATGAAACATCCATCTCTAATAAACATTTACAACCTAAGTAAAAGACAACCATTTTTAACTTAAGAAATAAGTTACACAGCATCACCATTAAACTTTTACAACCATTAAAACTTTTTAAACATTAAAC